TATTTGCACAGCATTGGAAAAAGGAAGAAACACCTAGAGAAGAAGATGTAATATAAAAATACTAGATTGTACAGAAATGGACAGATTGACATTAAAGATAAAAGAAAAAGGAGATACAGAATATTTTCAAACTAGGAACTGGAAAAGTACTATTATGTAAGCAAAATGATCCAGGCAATATGCTGTTCACAATGCACTTACAGTATGTATGTAAAGAGAAAATGTATAAATAAACTGTTAAAATAATTCAATTTGGAAATAAAAGAAAAGGGGTTTCCCCAGAAGCTTTAATGAGGAAATGTCTCACTTTTTAACAAAATATGATGAAAAGTGAAGTTAGAGTGATCCTTCAGATAATTTTATCCTGCAAGTTCACCTTTAAGCAAACTTCCTCCAACCCCCCCCCCCCCCCCAAAAAAAAATCAGCATTTGACTCTATATTATGAGTAAAACTATGGCAAAAAATAAAAAAATGAGATGGCTGAATGAGATCACTTGCTACTATTTATTGGAATTCTGCATGTTAGTACATTTCTAAATGCACTTCTCACAGGCATTCATAAACTGCTGTTCCAAGTTTCAAAGGTGCAAGACAAGGTAGTATCCTTGTCTGACTTTATATAAATGACATAATGGATTATTTACATAATGTGAACTTCCACTCTTCTAAATTGCTAAATAAAACTACCTTTCCCACTGAGACTATGCAGGTAATGCAATAGTTCTTTCTAAGACCTCTACAAAATTAGAAAAACTTTTGAGACCCTCATTCAGTATAGCAAAGAGCATCAGCTGGAAATAAATTATCAAAATAAATAAATAGATAAATAAAAGTATGGTTTTTGCCAAGAGACTGAGGATATTTTCTTGCAGAAAGTAAATTAATTTGAATAGATACTAAGCTTTCCATATTTGGAGGTGATCATTCATGCTTCTGAATTGTGGAGAGCCTATGAAAATTTCATGGTCCAGAATGTCCACGTGACACTCCACGTGACACTTTTAAGACAGAAGAAGAAAATGTATCCTTGCTGCTTTTAAACATTTTGAAGCTGTCTTTAGCATAATTGTTTTATGGAAACTTGTTGGTCAATTTTTCTGATTTCTATCCCTCTGTAGCTTATAAAGTCTAGTTTCTCAGACCTAATTTTCTGGTAACTTGTTTTCAAAAGCTGACTTTAGGGAAGGTGTGATGAAGGTGAAGGCTAGACTATGGTTAAGACTATTCTTTTCCAATAGAACTGGGCTATATAATTTCCCTAAGCTAAATAAATAAATGGACTCTATAATGATAGCTTTAGGATACCAGCTTTAACCAAAGAAACTATCATTTCCTGGATTAACTTCATCCTCCATTTACAAATGGAACAGCAGCAGCCAAAAAAGCTAATGCAATCCTAAATTGCATTAAGAGAGGGATACAATCAAAATCAAGGGAGGTACTGATACCACTCTATAAAGCCTTAATAAGACCACACTTAGAGTACTGCATCCAGTTTGTTCACCACATTATTAAAAAGATGTTAAGACTCTAGAAAAAGTACAGAAAAGAGCAACCAGGATGATTAGGGGACAGGAGACTAAAACATGTGAAGAATGGTTGCAGGAACTGGGCTTGGCTAGTCTAGTGAAGAGAAGGACCAGGGGACACATGATAGCAGTCTTCCAATATTTGAGGGGCTGCCACAGAGAGGAAGGGGTCAAGCTATTTTCTAAATCAACTGAAGGCCAGACAAGGAATAATGGATGGAAACTGAACAAGGAGAGAGATTTAACCTGGAAATAAGGAGGAACTTTCTGACAGTGAGAACAATCAACCAATGGAACAGCTTGTCCTCAGAAGTTGTGGGAGCGCCATCACTTGAGACTTTCAAGAAAAGATTGGACTGCCATTTGTCAGAAATGGTGTAGGGTCTCCCGCTTGGGCAGGGAGTTGGACGAGATGACCTACAAAGTCCCTTCCAACTCTGATTATCTGTTATCTGTTATAAGCCGGTTAAGAATCCTTATGAGGTATCATGTAATGGTTAGGAAGGGCTCTCTGAGCTTTCAGAGTTCCAAAGTTCCTTATTAATAAGTGCCACCTGCAAAATACTTTATCCAGATAATATCCCAAACAAAAAAGTTTACACAGCCAGTTTGATTTTTGTACCAGGCTAGAAACTGGGAGGCTGTGAGTTCTAGTCCTGCCTTAGGCACAAAGCCATATGGATAATCTTAGGCCAGATGCCTTTTTTGAGCTTTAGGAAGCAGCTAATGCCAAACTACTTAGGAGAAAACTGCAGAGACTTGTCACCAGGAGTCTACACTGACTTGAAGGTATATACAACATACAAAAAAAAGCATCACTGCAACCTTTCAGCTGTATCATGAACAGATACAGCAGGATGCCCTTGTCCCTGTAATAAGGGTCAGGTTAAAACTATTGAACATCTTATAGTGAAGAAGATGTGCAGTAATTTTAACCTGACCATTATTACATTATTATCTTCTATAACAACTTCCATAGCACATTTATCCACACTGTTTTTACAGCTACCAAAACTGTACAAATCAATTTTATACTCATTTATTACTTCAAGATAATGATAATTTTATAATTTATAGAGTAGGCGAGTTCTTTGCCATAGCATATTAAATTTAATAAAATCTGACAGTTAATAAGCATTAATTAGGCCAGAAACATTTATGCTTATCTTTTGTTATTTAATTTTATAGCTATTCAAAGTTACTGACTAATAGCTATCTTATTATTTTAATTTATTATCCTCCTTTAATTTAGATTCAATTTTGGTTTAATAGCATTTTATAGATTTTTACACTGATAAATTCACTTATTTGCAGAGCTTAGTATTTTACAATCCAGCTTTATAGTGCCAGCTTTATATTGGCTCAGAGATAATTTGGATGTGTTTTTTTCTTTTAAAAGTCTTTTCACTTATTTTTTGTCTATGGTAGGGTACAGAAATCAAAATGGCTGCCATTTTTATATTTGCAGCCTGCTGAACTGAGAAAAATTAAAAGAATATTAAAACATATCAAAATTTTCCCTTACATCAACCACATATCAATAATACAAGCTAGCAATGAGCTTTAGGGATGGGTAAAATCTCCATGCTACTAAAACAAGGCTTATTTAACTGTAACTTATATAATTAAATAAATAAATGCATAAATACAAAAATAGCATATATAAAAAGAGAAGTAGATTTCTGGCACTGGGCTATTTATTTTGTTTTTATTTCATTTGTTAAATTTATTTGTTGCTTATTTCATTTTGAAGTGACTCTTGGTGGCTTACAGCATAAAACCTTAAAATAATTTTAAAAAATAAAGATTCAGAAAGGAATAAATAAGTAAATAAGAATGAATTCAACCATCTAGATTCTCTCTCACCTCTGGTTTGTGGTTGCTGTTATATTAAGCCACTTTCAATTTTGGAATTGGAAACGCAACAAGTATCTCATGAGAAATGTTGAGATCGGCCTTTCTTAAAGAGAGTAGGAAAAATAAGAAACTGTATAAATTAGGTCTCTGTGAAAGTCTTGGACAGAATACCATGCCTCCTAGAATTGTGTGAGGCTTCTCAACCTTTCAAAAATGCAAACAGTTGAAAAACTGTCAGGAGATTTCAGCTCTGCCTAATTTTTCCTTTCTTTCTGTTCAGTGATACTTCAGTGGGAAAGCTCCAACTTGTATCTCGATTGCATTTTTCCATGTGATAAATAAAAAAAATTGAGAACATTAAATATTGTCTTCCAGATGCTGTGAATTGGGTAAGCATGAAGATTTTGTATCCGTTTCAGCAAAAGCCAGAGATTTTATACATGGAAAAAGAGCTGTTCTGCATTACAGTTTAATATGAATAGGATCACATAACAAATGTTCTCGAATGTTTTTGTGGGAAAAGAGGGGCTACAGTGAGAGTAAGTTTAGAGACTTTCTACCTCCTGCAATGCTCATTAGGTTTCCTTCTGCATTTTACACTTGCTGAATAACAGTTCCATTCTGGGCCCTCAGGCAAACTGATAGAGATCTGACCATCTAGAAATGTAGAATGCAGATATGGAGACAGAGGAGAAACATTGCTATATCCCTCTTTCTTCACATGTGCATATAACTATATTAGCATTATATCTTCCAGTAAACAAATATGAAATCAAACTTGGTTTCTGGGAATGCTATAATTAGGTCTACTGCAAAATGAGAGCCTGAAGGGATGCAGCAATATATTAGGACCCCACCATACTAAACCTCCCAAGCATTTTCTAATAATCAGCCAAAGAAAACAATATTTGTATAAAGCACTACATTGTAGCCAGCATAAAATATTATCTCCTCAGTCTGTAATGGCAAATAGAATTTCCAAGGCATAATAGTAGATTCCTTCCTTCCTTCCTTCCTTCCTTCCTTCCTTCCTTCCTTCCTTCCTTCCTTCCTTCCTTCCTTCCTTCCTTCCTCTCTCTCCCCCTTCCCTTCCTTCCTTCCTTTCTTTCTTTCTTTCTTTCTTCCCTTCCTTCCTTCCCAATCCTCTCCCATTTAATTATATCTTTGTTTTGTCATTCATCAGGGATTAGTCAACAGTTACCATAGTTTGTAAAATTCCAGCATATTTTCATCTATCTGAGGCCCGCAAAAGCAGCATACCTAAATCAACAGAATAACCTCTACTGGCAGAAAATAGGAAATAACGAGTGCTATTCTTAAGATCAAGTTGCTACATATAAATCATGTGCTGTCTACATCAAAGAAACAAATGGCAGAAGGACAAGCCGAAAGGAAGAAAATTATTAGACTTTTTTTTCTTTTGGCATATGCATATATCTTATTGATGGAAGTGGTTTTATTTATTAGGGTGGGTGTTTTATTTTGGTTCTGGTGGTTTGGTTTGGTTTTGGGGTTTTTTTCTGTTTTATTTTCTTTTTGAAAGCCTGTTGATCACTGAGCTTTGTTGACAGAGTGGTTAGAATGAAGTACTGCAGGCTACTTCTGCTGTTCGGCAGTTCGATTCTCACCGGCCCAAAGTTGACTCAACTTTCCATCCTTCTGAGGTCGATAAAATTAGGACCCAGAATGTTGGGGACAATCTGGTGACTCCATAAACTGCAAAGTACTGTGGAGGGGTATATAAGTGCTTTTGCTATTGAAAAATGAAAATGTAATGCAAAAAAAAATGTCAAAGAATTAATAAAAAAGAAAAAAACTGTACCACTGTAAAATGGGCAGACCATTGTTGGGGAGGAAAGTATGTTATTGTAATGCTATTGTAATATTGTAATGTTTCTGTAATCAGATAAAAGATAAAAATCACACAGGGGGAATGAAGTAGGAAGGTTTGTTGTTTTTTACAGGGGTATATTTATTAAGGTCTTCATACAGGTAGTCTTTGACTTACAACCACTCATTGAGTGACTGTTTGAAGTTACAACAGCACTGATTTATGACTGTTTTTACATTTATGGCCGTTGCAGCATCCCCATGGTCACATGATCAAAATTCTGATGCCTGATAACTGACTCATATTTATAATGGTTGTGGGATCACCTTTTGTAACAAGCAAAGTCAATGGAGAATTAAGATTCACTTAACAACCATGTTACTAACTTAACTAGTGATTTACTTAACAATGGTGGCAAGAAAAGTCGTAAAATGGGGCAAAGTTCATTTAACAAATGTCTTACTTAGCAACAGAAATTTGGGGCTCAATTGTAGTCATATTTTGAGGGCTATCTATACTAACTCTAACCATGATTTTCAAAAATCACCTTCCAAACCTAACTTCTTCCTTTCTGTTTTCCAGGCTGCCGGCTCACTTCCTAGTTTTTGCTAAAGAATCACATTGCTTATGACAAATGTGATTTATGGGACAAATACCCCACTTTTATCCAAAACAGGAAGTGAAATAGAGTGTCACACAAAAATGCATGGCAGTATGTATAAGTACCCTATCAGCCCTGAAGCCATTTTGAGCTGAAACCACAGCAAGGCCAGTTGGAGCTGTGAGAACTAAAGAGGGGAGATAGAGATAGTGGGGGGTTGTATAGCCAAAACAACATTCTTTCTGTGGGAGCCAAGGACGCTTTACCAGGTGTTGGAGAGGTGTGGACCAAAGCCAGCCAGGATGGTGGCTGTGACGTGGTTGGACCGTGTGATGGATGTGTGACCTGGGGGGAAAGAAATTTGGGGTTTGATTTGGCTGGGGGAAACTTTGGGTCCTTCAGAATCGGGTTTTCCCCAGATGTGCTAACATGCCTAATAAATGAACTTTGAGGAACATACCTGCCTTGGAATTTTGATTCCGTTGGGTATGCTAACTGGAACCCTGACACTCAGCAGAATTTAAGAATCAGCTACTGTATGTCCAAGGCCAGCATCAGATTTAAAGATGCCTCCAGCAGAGTTCTCCTTGACTGCCCACTAACAGATAAACCTGGTGGTTAAACGATGAACAGGATCATTCAGCAAAGAAAACCTGAGAAGAAAAGCACCAGATGTTGCACCTTCAAAAATGAAATAAAAACAGGCACTATCTTTGTTTCCTTTTTGAGCAATACTTCTCAGGCTAAGAGCATTTTGGAGAAGTGAATACTTCAAGTCCTGCAGCCTTGCTTAGCATTTGTCTTCACAGTGTCGCACTGAGCATTATTACCTTAAAAATGTTATCAAGTTATTTGGGGGGGGGAAATTCAGTAATCAAAACCATTCATGGGACCCCACGTTATACTCAGTGAACCTATCTTTGCCTGTGAAGGGTCAGTCATGATCACACTAATCCAGCAACCTGTTTCTTGCAGAGGCCAGCTAAGTATATCTTATATAATCTTCCATAACACAGTGCTCTCCGGGTGTATTAAGATTGTAGCAATGTTCTCTGGGAACTAAAGGGGTCATGGTTCCAACACATCTGGAAATGAATACCGGCTTTGATCATAAGCAGAGTAAGAAGAAAAAAGCTAGTTATTATTTGCCTCTGTGTAATAAAAGACATGCAACTTCCCATTGGCAAACAGAAAACCACACATTCATAAACTAGTTGTTTGGAGTAACGTTTTTGCAATTTGCCTCTAATAGAAAGTCAGATCTGCTAGATGTCAGAAGACCAAGCAACATTACATGTTTTTTTAAATGTTAACTAATAAACATCTGACAGGAGAGAGTGTAACTTAATCTCATTTCCATATGAAATTGTCTTCTAAGAATGTTCAGTATTCATTATGAACTGTATGCTCCTCCAGAATCTTGCAAAGAAAATTACATGACCTAAGTATTATAATGAAGTTCTTTAGATACAGTATGCCAGTAACTTGCAAGAATGAGATAATGTCTAGAAGATGGTAACATGGTCCAACTGGCTTAGGAAATAGGGTTTTTTAATATCTGTTTAGATGAAAAAATAATTGTAAAAATAAGCATATTGTTTGATTTACTGGGTGTTTAACACATCCGTTGCTATGATTTTAATTACAGAGTACAGAGAATTTTTGAACAAAGAGGTTGATTTATTCAGATCCTGATATAATCCTTTGGACAGATTAATATAGACGAATTTACATGCTTGCGGTCTGACATTACAGACCAAAGGCTCAGGAAGATCAATTGTTTGATTTCTTTGTGTCTCATGGAAAATAATGTCCAAAGGGAAAAGTCTGGAAGTCTGACCAGTCCTGCATGGGATATAATGACTGTCTCATTAAGAAAAGGAGATTTAACTTTACTTTATGAAAATATAACTCTGCAGAAAACTCCAAGAAAGATTTGTAATTTAGGGAAAATAGAACATTTACATGGAAATCTGATTCCAAAAAACATCATACTTCAATTATTTTATCATTCAATATGTTAAGGAAATTATCTCATAATATCTAAAAGTGTAGTGTTTTGCTTTTCTCCTATTTACTATTTTGCTTAATAAGGGGTTTTAATTGTGTGTGTAGTTCTGGGTCTGTATTTAATTTGATTGTAAGTATGCATGTGGACAAATGTATGTGCGCATGTGTTAATTTCTCTTTGAAAGCCATAAGAGAGAAACTTTAGTGCAGAGCTATCAAACTCAAGGCTCACGGCCCAGATCCGGACTGCAGAGTGCTTAGATCTGTCCCATGGGGCTGTTCTGGAAACAGCAAAGGACCAGCCTGCAGTGCCTCTGCAAGCAAAAATGGAGCTCGGGAGGGCTGCATGAGCTCTGTTTTTGATGGCAGAGAGTTGCAGGAGGGTGTCCCAGCCGAAAATGGAGCTCAGGAGCCAATTTGCACTGGCAGAGCGCTCAAGCCACCACAGGTATCCCCTGTGATATCAAGCTGGCCACGTCTACCCTGGCCATGCCCACCCCAGCCCTTCGAGGTCAAACACAACCCTGATGCGGCCCTCAATGAAATCGAGTTTGACACCCCTGTCTTAGAGAGATCAACCACTATGGAAAGACATACACTAAGTAATATGGACATAATTGCATGATTAAACTGAAAAAATGGGTGATGGTTATCCAGTATGCATGGATCAGTTCCATTACTAATACTAAGAAAAATGTGGACACAAAGATTTGTCTCTATGGAATTCATAAAACAATTAAGTTCTCCTCCAGACCTAATTCATTAAAGCTACACGTATACGAAATGTTACATTAATGGATTCCAGTTTCAACAAAATTGCATTAAAAGTCTTACAACAACTGGAGAAGGCATTTCTTTTTGACACTTTGGGATGACAACAAGAAGAGACCCAGCACCCATTTGCCACGCAGAGGTAGAACAAATGTATAACAGAAAGCAGAATAAACAGCTTTCATTTCTGAATGTGTTCTGTATTTCTATACTCATATTGTAGTACATGTTTGACAATTTACATTTGCTATGCCAGAAGTGGAATTTTTCAAGGTGAATTAGGAGCAAAATGGGGGATTCATATTTCAGGCTGTTCCTTGTGAAAGCAGAAAATTAACTGTGTCCATTTCCACCAATGCTATCTGCAATGTTACTGTTTTTGACAAAATATTATCCATGAAACACTTTTCTGCAACATGCAAGCATCCACAGGGATTCAATACACTCACTGAAATTGTTTATGTTTGTTTTTTTCTACATAAAGCAAATTCAGATTTAAAATAACTCAATAAATTCTTTAAATGTTAAACATTTTTTTGAAAATCATCTAAAACATGGGACAATAATATCGATGTGAAAAGGCATAACAGAGCCAGTAAATCTACCATATTTAACTGTGTATAATTTATACTGAGAATTTTAATTACAATAGTAAAATCTAACACAAACTAAACTTAGAAATGGAGAAGAGGCAGAAAGAATAAAAAGTACAAAAAAAGAGGAAAAGAGGAAACAGAAGAATATAATATAGAAAATGAAAAGAAATATATAAAGAAGTGACTTTCAACCTTCATCACAAGAAATATAAAGAAATGTAATACTAACTCTTTAACTCCTAAAATGCTAAATATATATATCTCTTCATTCCATATCCTATTCTTTGCCTATAAGCAAAACCATAAAATGTCAACTTTTTAATTCTGGTATCAGCAAAAATTTGTAAAAGATATTTTAGATTATTTACAAATCCCATATTTGTTATTTGTGTAAATAACTCAAGGCAACTATACCTAATACTTCCTCGTCCTCCTCTTTTCTCCACAACAACAACTTTGTGAGGTCAGTTGGGTTGAAAGAGAGTGACCTGCCCAAAACCACACAGACGGGTTTTTCATTAGAAACCTAAAATTCACAGTTTGTAGTCTGGTGCCTTAACCACTAGACCAGGTTGACTTTGTAAAACTCTTACTGTAACTGTGAACAAATAACCAATTTTATATGCCTGCCTTTTACTTCTAACAGTCTTAATTTATAATTCTTCCACTCTTTGGAAGATGTTGCATCCAGATTTTTGCAAGCCAGATATAGCAGTCCAAATCTATCTGTGCATGTGAAAAATAGGTGCATATATGTTAGGAAGTTGTGCATTTAAACTCAGGGTGAATTGCAAATTAAACTTTCTTTTAAACTTTTTAAAAAACATAAAAAGACCCAGATAAATCAGCATATTGCCCTCATTGTAAAATAGAAAGCACATTAACTTTGTACACATACAGTGGTTGGAATATTGTGGTGTTCTATTCTTGATTAACTGTTCCTCGTTTCCAGTTTCCATCTTACTTACTTATGGAAAAATATAGTTTCTGCAGGTTCATTTGTTGTATGGCTTAAATGAAATAAGAGCTCTGCAGATCTTTGCAAATATTACAAAAACCATTAAAGAAAGTTGAAATCGCACCATCCATTTAAAAAAAAAAAAAAAGCTATCAGGAGATAATATTTATGTTTATATTGGTGAAACATGACCAAGCAGGCCTTAAACATCTGAACTTTATTTAAGCTTGCAATGAAAAAATGCAGATGTACATTCATTTGGGCAATATAGAACAAGTAAAACATATGGTTAGAATAGGTCATAAACTTGAAACCAAACCTGAACAGCTTCATAATTCATTTTCGCACTGCAGGCATTCTGTTTTGAAATCCATGGGGCTTCTTTTTCTCTTTATTTTCTTAAAGTCAATTTAAACTTGATGGAAGACCTTTCATTGACAGCTCCAACAACTGAGGAGCCTGGGTGAATTCAGCTTCATGATCACAATTCTGAAAGTTTGCACTGCAGCCTATGGAACTGAGATTGTATCCATTTTTAATACTCGCAGCAAAAGGACCCACCTTCAAAAATCTTAATTTTACAGCTTCTTTGAGGTACAGCCCAATCAATTTTGTAGATGGATGAAACACAATATAGCAGCAAATCCATCCCTTTTTTAAAGATTATAAATGCCATCATTTAGTGTTAGTTCTTAACTAATATTGTCCAAAAGCTATCTTTTGTGTAAGAAAAAATACCCAGGAAAAGATCTAAGTTTGATGTAGGCACAGGTAGTCCTCAACTTATGACCCCCCAACATTTATGTTGTGAACAAATTTGTTAAGTGAGTTTTGCCCCATTTTACAACTTTTATTGCCACATTTGTTAAGTGAACCAAGGAGTTGTTAAATTGGTAAGATGATTGTTAAGTGAATCTGGTTTCCCCATTGGCTTTGCTTGACAGAAGTCTGTAGAGATTCTCAGTCATCCAGGTCATAGTTGTCCGAAAGGTGCTTTTTTCAGGAGGCAACTGGACTTTCTTGTTTTTTCTTTGGAAGACATTTCACTTCTCATCCAAGAAACTTCTTCAGCTCTGACAGGACAGTGTGGAATAGAAGGATTTGTCTGCAAGGAATATAAATCCTGCCATTCCCCACTGTACTGTCAGAGCTGAAGAAGATTCTTAGATAAGAAGTGAAACATCTTCAAAAGAAAAAAACCAGAAAGTTCAGTTGCGTCCTGAAAAAGCACCTTTGGGAGCCTTGACAGAAGGTTACAGAAAAGGATCACATGTTCCTGGGACACAGCAACAGTTATAAATATGAGTCCATTTGCCAAGCATCTGAATTTTATACACGTGGCCATGGGGATGCTACAAATGTCATCAGTGTGAAAAATGGTCATAAGTCATTTTTTCAGTGCCATTGTTAACTTCAAACGGTCACTAGACAAACCGTTGAGAGTCGAGCACTGCCTGTACCAAGGTAACTGTGCTGTTGCATTTTGAACTGAATTCTGAAATATAGCTGCTGGATGTCTTGGTACTGTACAGAATACAAGAAAAGGGGACCAGCTTCCCAAAATGGCAGCTGGACACTGGCAAAAGTATTAATAGCAGCTACCCATATAGAGGAAGGGGCTTGGACCTCTCCATTGCCAACTTCCTCCTTTTCCTTCCCAATACCTTGGGCCAGCTGTAAACCATCCTGACTGCCCCACCACTGCCAGGAGATGCTCCATAGATGTACCATATTCCACAGTGCCTTTCCACTTCCACTTCCCTCTCCCTCTCTTCCTTGTACCCTGGCAGCACTTGGGGGGTGAGGTTATTTGTATCACTGGCTTGATATTTCTTTCCTGGCCTGGCCTGGCCTGACCAAGACTCTCTTGGAATCCCTTTCTCCCCTGCCAAAGCTCCATCAACAAAAACTGCCATCCATGCCATTTCTCAAACTCAACCTCATATATTGTGTCTATTACAAGCTACCATATCTAGAAAGGTGCAAAAAAAGAAATAGCACTGAAGGTGATGAGAGATGCCTGGAAACCCAATCTTACAAGGAGAGACTGAAAGAAGAAAGGGACCATGTTTAGACTGCAGGATATAAAATAGTACAGGGATATCACAGAGTCTGAATCAAGGTCTATTCTGAATCAGAGAGTACAAAGTAATGATACGAAGTTGTGGGAAGGTAAATTCCAACTGAATATTAGAAATAAATCTGCAAGCGTAGTTTAACAGTGAAAAGCCCAGCTTAACAGTCTGCTCCTCTTTACTGGATAGGTTCAAATGATAGCAAAGCCGTCATGTCATTATTTGGATTCCTGAATTGCAAAGAGGTTTGAACTCTTTAAATGAGTTCCTTCCTAACGCTATGATTTTTGTGAGATGACTTGTTTCCTTAGAGGAAAAAGGAGGAGGAAGAGGATTGTGGCCTTTCAGAATTGAGACCTCTGACTCCAGTCTATAATTCCTCAGCACATCAATATTACGCTGCCAAAATTTCAGTGGCCCATTTTCTGAGGCTTTTCTTCCAGAATGAAGGTTGCAAATGGGAATGGCAACCCCATTCTCGTTCTCACCAGAAATATCAGCACCATCCTCTTCCCTTCCAATTAATGTTACAAGTGACTTGCAAGTCATCAAGGGAGCAAATTGAAATCTCTGATTCATGGAAAGTTGCTACTTCTGCTGTAAAGCAGAGGAATCGGAGATTTAAAAAATGAAGATTTCCTGAGTTGCTTAATATAAATTTAAAAAATGAGGCAAATGAAGAGACATAATGTATCACACAGGGAGAGACTGTGACCAGATTATTTGTATGGTGCTGAGTCTGCTGCTTTCGTGCTAAAATTATTTCTCCAGTTACCAATGAGTAGATTCACAACAAGCCTTTTTTTTTTCTTGAAGATGCATAAACTGAACTTGGGTTGAGCAATCCTTCACACAATGAAATCTGTCAGGATTCAAGATTAGAAATAGAACACCCAGATAGTGATACAACTAAAATGGACGGAGGTATAAAGTCTAAAAATTCTTCTGAGTGGTGGCAAGGAACCAACTTTTTAGGCCAGTCAAGAAAGGATAGATCCTTTCTTGGCTGCTTATGGGAAAACGTTTATGATAATATTTGTACTCCATATTTTTATCTAGTCAGATGGCAGCATTTTGTTGATCTTGTCTGATCCAGATCAAATCAATAGTTGCAATGTGAGATTATTATGGGGAAAAAAACAGAATTTTGAAACTGTAAGTATTCCAAAAAATGAAAGCAAAATGTTTTTGAACAAACTACAAATGTTATGAAATCATCCAGCTCCAAGTGTGACTTTACTTTTTCATTCTACCTATCCAGCACAGAAGAACTGGGCTTAAGGCCATTCAATTATTATTAACATACTGAAAGAATTAAATCAATGAAACATTTCAGTGTTCTGGTTGAATGATTGGTTGGTTGGCGGCTTCTTGCTTGCTTGCTTGCTTGCTTGCTTGCTTGCTTGCTTGCTTGCTT